ATTATACATCAAATAGGCATAAATCTGATTTGGTACGACAAGTTACCAGAATGAAAAAAAAACAGTATTTTAGGATCCAGCTGTAAGTTTATTCAAATTTGAAACCAGAAGTCTGAGATTCAGTGGCATTGACGTGTATTCATTTTAACCATAATGTCAACATCTTACATTTGATAATTATTTTTCCTTGAAAATGGACGTTTGAGTAACAAAATTCTCGATAATGGGACTATTTTTTTTGAAATGAGAATATATTATCCTAATAGCACTATATATTTAATCAAATCCGATGCCGAAATTCCAACTTAAAAATAAATTCCACAGTTTGGCTGTAGTTTTAATTTTAATTTATCTATAGGCCTACTATATTATACGTATACTTATAGGCCTAAGTGTTTAAATGTATTCCCGTCGGGTTGTTAACGATTGATTACTTTCTGTCTATTTGAATGTATTTTCCTGTGTCCTTGAATGCTTTCTGAAAACAAAATTAATGAAATGAAATTTAAATGTTGAATCCTTGTTAATATTGTATTTATAATTTAGGTGTTTATTAGTGCTTTATCTTCAGTAATTATTAATTATAATATTAAATGAGGGTCCGACTTAAACTTCACTTAGGCCTATCTGGTGTAATTACGACGAGTGAAAACCAGATGGAGTATTTTTCTCTATTCTCTGTTGACATCGTTGACATCCTCTAAATTATTTGCTGCCCAGTCACGTTGTTCATGCCGTTCTCTTGTCTTTTCCCATCCAAGGAATTATGCAAGCTCCGCCACTTGTATATTATTGGTAAGGTCTCTAAACGCACACACTTGCGTTTTTGGAAGAACACGTATGTGTTTGAGACAAGTGCATATTCCCTGGTCGTCTTCTGATTATTCAGTTTTTAACTTTGGAAATCCTTCAAGATGAGACGATTGTTGTGTCCAAGACACGACGAGAAAACCACTTCCAATTGTATTTTCGAAATATGCGTCTGTCTCGTTGCCATAGAAAGTGATCACATGAATGAAGTTTAACTGCAAGTTATACCATTTTCAAAGATGATGGATGTCAGTCAAAATGTGATATTCAGGGCCGTCGGAGCCGCACCGGCCGAACCCCCGATCAAATTTTCTCAATCATATTCACACCTTTTAATAAATATATAGGCCTACTGATACCTATATTATGTGACTGTGAATATTATGTGAGTGTTAATATAAATGTTATACATTTGTCAAAAATCCACCATGCACATTTCAATTGTGTGCACAATCCTTAATTTTTAGTGATTAAGATTGATTTTGAAAATGTTTAGGTACAAATAGGCCTATAACATAACAATGAACTGTATAACATTTTGGGGGCTGGTTCAAGCCAAACTGTCACCATGACAAATGTATAATGGTCAAGCTGGCCCTAATTACTTGCAATCAAATTTTAAACCCTTAAAGTGAAGGACATTATGTATTTTTTAATATTCTAGTTTAGTACTGTAGTCTGGTAGTTGTGCATTTTAATTTGTTATTTTTATTATATTTTAGCCACACAACATATGCACCAACGATTGTCAACGATTGCCCTACGGGTAGGTGACAATTCCTTTCACAATACACTCACGATGCTCTACACAAATTAAATCTTAGTATGAAGTTTAAGGAGTGAAGTTGTTTTGGTCGTGAACATGAATGTAATTAACACAGACAGGAATTGAACCCAAGCCCCTGGGATTGGAAGGCAAGCATCTTCAACGCCAAGCTTTTCAACTCCACACCTGTCTGGTAACATCCAAATTATGGTGAAAGCATGCTTGTATGTGAACTACTGTATATCGTTGACACATCGTCGCCAAAAACATCTTCTAAAATATTGAATTTCGGAATACTGTTTCTTCTCAGTTTGGAAAATGTACGGTACATATAGGTAAGTAAAGCGTGTACTATGCCGTACTGTAGTTGAACAAACCAGTAGGCCGACATGGTGTTAGCTTTAATTGCGGCATCCATTGTTGACGTTGTTGTTGTTCAGGCCCATATGTTATTTTATTAGACCAGAGACTGTGCCATAAAATCGGTTTGTAGAGAGTCCTTTCAATTAATTTTGTGGACAACATAACAAATCTCAAAATTGGGCCATATACAATGGCATTAAACCGGGATATCGGAGTGGAAAACAACAGTAACAAAATAACATAGCTAAAGTTGTGTAATGATATACCGTATAGTTTTGGTCGTAGGCATATGTTTTTGCAACCTCACTCATCAATGTTAATCTATTTGTAAAATTAAGTAAAATCATTTTGATTGATTTGATAAAGTGTAATATTATATATAGGCCTATATTGACTGAAAAACGATCGGTGGGACGTAAATTGCGCATTAAATTAAATAGGCCTATAGCAAACAAATTCATATAGAATGCAGCATAAAGTGATCTTAATGCTGTTGTTTCCTAAACCGTATGCTTTTTTGTTGTTGCTTAATATTCTATACAGTATATATATATATATATATATATATATATATATACCCTATATATATATATATATATAGCCCTTCTTGTTCAATCAAATGAATATGGTCTCCAAATAAATTTATATTTACTCCGGAAGTTTATTCAATCGTCATTCTAGAAATCTAAAAAGAGAATATGCATGTATAACACGTAGCATAAAATAATACATTAACAATATTGTATTCCAATTCATGATACAATCAAAATTAACGGGTGAACAAAATATGAATCTATTCATATATAAAATCGTTTCAAAATCATAAAATCATATAACACAAATTAATATTAAAATATTAAAATGCTATAGTAATAGTAATTAAGTGAGTATCTTATTTAAACATATTGGAACACGCTAATGTTCCGTCACTTTACTTAGCCTAAATATTCCTTGGAATATTCGTATAATCAAACGTTTGCTTTCTTATATCTAATGTATAAACATATTAAGTTAAATAAGTCCTATCACAGCGTCCGGTACTGCTGTATTACAAGATACCGTGACATCATAAACCCATTCAGCCGACCCGGCGAATGCGACACTATAAAAGCGCTAACATAGGCTCTAATTGCAAACATAGGTATCACCCTGGATTATGTATTACTTGAGTGAGGAATATCAATCATACCAGAGTAAATAAATTTAGTTTTATAAAATAACATATCTAGCGGTATAATAGAAAAATAGCTAATAATAATAATAATAATAATAATAATAATAATAATAATAATAATAATAATAATAATAATAATAATAATAGTAATAATAATAATAATACGGTAATAACGACTAAAATACTAATACTAATAATTACAAACAACGAATACGGCTTTAAAGTTTAGCGATAAGTTAATTAAACAATATAGAAAATAGAATTATGATTAAACTAAAGGATTTAACATTGGTTACCAACATAGCGTGATTCATAATAACAATATCACTTCTTTATTAATCGAAGTATTTATTTAGCTTATCCTATGGTAAAGATATTTTTCGAAATGATAATCATATAGGCTTACAATTATTAAAACGATAGTAATAATATTAAAATATCAAAATAGGACGATAGTTCATCATGGATATAACAATTAAAAGCAATAGAATTATAAAATGTAAAGTTAAATCTCAATACAACTATTCACTGGTATTCGTATAGCCTGGGTCACTATCCCAATGCTTACAGTAGCCTATGCACATTATAACTGTGCTCTGCCTAAAACGTCCTTCAGCATTCCTTCGCTTGGCCTTTAGCCTAGGCAAAGGGCTATTACCTGTACAACTAAAACACAGTACAGTATATTATACATCTATACCATGGATGTCTAATAATAACATAAACATACTTTTAATTAAACTAAAAGTTAAACAATAATTAAAAATACAAATCTTACCTAAAAAGAGCCAGTCGTAGAGATCGGATTAAACATAAAATTCGAATTAATAAACAATGGAAATTGAATAGAGTTCTCATCGATGCGCTGGAGATGTGACAAGTAAGTAAGGAATGTGGGTATAGGTCCATGAAACCTCGTTGGTGGTCACTCTTAATGAGAAAAACAGTTAAATTATTACTTTAATGGAAGAGGGCTCTGTGTATACTGGTTCCCGTATTCATTGGGGTTACATATATA